GTATTTTCTTGCTTGATTTTTTGGCCTTGTGATTGGTTGTAGGGTTCTTTATGTTCAGTCATGAGCTATCTTAGAACACAAGGAAATAGATAAGAGAGGAGTATTTCTTTTGTATGTAACCTCAATGACTCAGTTTCTGCATAATATATAAACTTTATTTGAAAAAAAAAAACTGATGGAAAAATAAATAAAAATGATGTACTAAGTACCACTTATTTGCTATAAATGAGGGCAAATCCAATTTGGATATTGCAAAACAGCAACGCCATTTTTCAGTTATTATATGCAAAGTTGTGCATTTGTGTCGGAACTACGTAGACGTGTGTATGCCTATCCATTTCGGGTTAAATGTCACATAGAATCAGGTATGGATGATGATATCTATAAGACTAAAAACAACTATTTTAAGTATAATTTTTTAACAAACAAAAAAGCTGTGTAATTTCGATTTTGGGTATGATATGTAATTATGTTCAACATCGTTATCGGAAATTTTGGTCGTGGTTATTTTGTGCTATAGGCAATTATGGATGATTTTGAATATTTTGAAGCTATTTTTGAATAATTTTATAGAATTTTGATTATCGACATAAATAATCCGGATACCTAGATGATCTCCAACATGATCCGAGTGGGTAATTTTATCATTGTTTACGTAGGTCGTCAACATACAAATCACATCGTTGAACCGAAAGAATAATGCACTAGATAAGGTGGTTAATCACATGGTTCAACATCTAAGTATCAAACTAGACTAAACAAATATAGTTAGTATGAAGCAAACGCAACAAAGCGAAAATAGAATGACAAGTAAATGCATAAGAATCTTTATTCGTCGATCTACATCTATAGATGTCAAATTATCTAAGAAAAACCTACAAATCCCTTTACTCGCATACTTATATGAAAACAGAATAAAAATGTAGCCTCTCAGGTACATGTAAGAGAACACAAGAATGCATTGGTCCATGCATGATGAATATGATACAAAAATAAAGATGAGAGTTACAACACAAATGTTTGGATGTTTTCGCTTTGTAAAAGGAATATCATATCTATTCTTTATATATATTCTCTATATCACTCTTCTCAATTTTCATATTTACTAATATTGTTCCTCACATTGTAGTGTGATCCGTGATTCAATTTGTATATCATATTTCGGATATCAAATTGTAGTGAAACTACAAGTTTTTATAGTTCACTATGCAGACCTTTGGTTTTAGATTTCAAATTATTGTAAATTCTGGATTTGAATTTTACGAAAGTCGGATTTTTCAAATGACAAGACATCAAAACTATACTAATTTCGGTCGGTCAAATTTAAATAAACTCGTTTTCTCATCGATAATATTTTTTTTTCTGTGCGTCTTACAATTGTTTTCAAAACGTAGTGAAAAAAATACTGGTTAAATGTATTCGTTATTCCTAAAGGACCTAAACTTAACCAAAACGGAATCAAGAACGAAGCTCAAGAGCTGCATGCCTGCTTCAATAGCATTATTAGCTAAAATATGTAAATACAAATGAATAGATCGGTTGAAATATAATGTTTCGAAGACGTTATTAATAACAAACAAAATGAAATTCACGCAAGGAAAATGCTATTGAAAAAGACAGATCCCACCGACACAAAAAAACCAAATCCTTTTTCAAATTGTTTTCATATAAAACTAGGGGCAGACAAAAGTGGATGCCCTATCAATTTTCTGTCTCATTACCTTTTACACCATATTCAAATTTTAATATTTCCATTTGGCTTAGTTTTCTTCTTATACTATTACGAACTTAACAAAATGGTTCAAATAATGAGTATTTAGAAGAATACAAGTAATTAAGAGATAATATAGTACAAATGATTCAACTGAAAATTATAAAGTTGCCCAAAGGCAGTATATAGAGCATATCCAGTAAAACTTATAAGTACGTTGTAACACTATAAAACTATAATAAAAGAAGAAGCTTTTAATTTTTCAAAAAAAAAAAGAAAAAAGGAATAAGAAGCTTTTAATGTGAATGGTTATT